ATGTTAGTAGATGCAACCTCTGCCCTGCTGCCCATAAGACTAAGCAAATTAAGGAGATGCCAATGTGGTAGTTAAGTTTGTCTATCAACTTGGCTGGGCCTGGTTGAGTGGCTGGGCAGCTGGATGTAGGATTCCCCATGATGAGACTGGTGATCCACTCCATGGTGGAATCTAGTGGGAGCAGCTGAGTAGCTGCCTTAGGGATGTGGTCTGCTTCCTATATATAAAGAGGAGCCTTGGGGAGTGGTCTCTAGCTTATGTCATGCTTGAACCCTGCATGTAGCTGTGTCATTGTTCAGCAGCCTGCCATGTTCTGCCAATCTTGGGTCTTTTGATGGGCTTGAATTAATGGCCTGCTGTGTGGTTTGGTAACATCGGTATTGTGCCATGTTATTTGTTGAACTTAGGCTTGTTAGCCCTAGTAGCCAGTAGCTGTCTGAGTGAAGAAATGCCTCTAGCTTCAGTGGGCCGAGAGCAAGAGGCAGAGCTGAAGCCCAAGGTCAAGGGGCTTTCACACAGCCCTGAGAGCCTGGCACTTGGTCGAATTTCTAGCCTCCTGAACTGTAAGAGAATAAACTCCTGTTTGTTAAAGCCATTCCATTTGTGGTATATTCTTGTCGGAGCAGCACTAGGTAACCAAAACAGCCTAAGACATCTTGGAGGCTATAGAAAATTCCATAGGCAAAATATTGAACAATGCAGGAAGCATCAAAAGAAGATGGAAGGAATTCACAGCCACTGTACCAAAAAAAACATTTTAGGAGGTCACATATGATCAAGAACCAGTGGTACTGAAGGAAGAAGTCCAACCTGCACTGGAGAAATTGGCGAAAAACAAGCTCCAGGAATTGAAAGAATACCCACTGAGATGTTTCAACAAATGCATGTAGTATTAGAGGCACTCACTTGTTTGTGCCAAGAAATGTGGAAGATAGTTACCTGGCTAACCCACTGGAATATACTCATAGCAACCCCTCCTTTGGTTTTCAAGGCGGTATCTCTAAGGAAGGTGCATAGATTGCCCAGTCTTCCTTCCAAGGAGTAGCTGGTGGGTTTGAACCACCAGCCTTCTGGTTAGCAGTGAAATGTCTTAGGCACCATGCCACCAGAGCTCCCAACCCACTGGAAGAGATTCATATTTGTGCCCATTCCAAAGAAGGGTGATCTAACAGAATGCAGAAATTATCAAACCATATCATTAATATCACACCTGAGTAGAATGTTGCTGAAGATAATTTAAAAATGATTGCATCATTACATTAACAGGGAGCTGCCAGAAATTCAAGCTGAATTCAGAAGAGGGTGTAGAATGAGTGATATCATTGCTGACGTTAGGTAGATCTTGTCTGAAAACAATGAATACCACAAAGATGTTTACTTGTGTTTTATGGACTATGCAAAGGCATTTTCTGTGTGGAGCATAACAAATTATGAATAACATTGCAAAGAATGGGAATTCCAGAACAATTCATTAACAATTCATTGTGTTCATGAGGAATCTGTACATAGACCAAGAAACAGTCATCCAGACAGAACAAGGGGATACTGCATGGTTTAAAATCAGGAAAGGTGTGCATCCTTTTACCATACAGTCCTATCACTTAGTCAATCTGTATGCTGAGCAAATAATCCAAGAAGCTGGTTTATATTAAGAAGGCTGTGGAATGAGGATTGGAGGAAGACTCTATTCATTTTTGATGTGCAGATGATACAGCCTTCCAATGCCAAAAAGTGAAGATGACTTGAAGCATTTACTGATGAAGGTCAAAGACTACATACAGCCTTCAGTATGGATTACAACTCAACATAAGGAAAAGAGAAAATCCTTACAAATGGGCCAATAAGCAACACAATGATAAATGGAGAAAAGATTGAAGCTGTTGGAGATTTCATTTTATGGAGATCCACAATCAACACTCGTGGAAGCAGTAGTCAGGAAATCAGATGTCATATTACACTGGGCAAGTCTTCTGCAAAAGACGTCTTTAAAGTGTTAAAGATCAAAGATCTTAGTCACAATGAAGACTAAGGTGCACCTGAATCAAGTCATAGCATTTTCAATAGCCTCGTATGTATATGAAAGGGGAGCTCTGGTGGCGTAGTGCCTAAGGCATTTGACTGCTTGCTGACCAAAAGGCTGGGGGTTCAAACCCATCAGCCACTCCTCAGATGGAAGGTTTGGCAATCTACTTCTATAGTGATACTGCCTCGGAAGCCCAAGGAGAGGTCGGTATGAGTCGGATCCGACTTGAAGGCAGTGATTGTGTGAAAGCTGGACAATGATTAAGGAAGACCGAAGAAGAATTGATGCTGTTGGCGAAGGATAGTGAAAATAGTGCCTAAGGCATTTGACTGCTAACCAGAAGGCTGGCGGTTCAAACCCACCAGCCACTCCTTGAAAGGAAGATGGGGCAATCTACTTCCGTAGAGATACTGCCTCAGAAACCCAAGGAGGGATCACTGTGAGTCCAACAGACTCAACGGCAGTGAGTGAGACCAGAACAAATCTGTCTTGGAAGAAGTATACCTGGAATGCTCCTTAGAAGCGAGAATGGACAGATTTTGTCTCACGTACTTTGATCATGTTGTCAGAAAGAACCATTCCCTAGAGAAGGATATCATATAAAGTAGAGAGTCAGCAAAAAAGAGATGGACTGATGCAGTGGCTGTGACAACAGGTTCAAGTATAGCAACAATTGTGAGGGTGGCATAAGACTCGGCAGGGAGCTCTGGTAGCATAGTGCCTAAGGCACTTGAGTGCTAACCAGAAGGCTGGTGGTTCAAACCCACCAGCCACTCCTCAGAAGGAAGGTTGGGCAATCCACTTCCACAGTGATACTGCCTCAGAAACCCAAGGAGGGGTCGCTACGAGTCGGAGCTGACTTGTTGGCACATAACAAACAACAAAAAACACAGGACCTGGCAGTGTTTTGCTGTGTGGTACGGAGGCTCACCATGAGTCGGAACCAACTCTACGGGACCTAAAAACAACAGCAAAATCCCACCAGCTGTGCCCCAGGAGCAAAGAGCTGGGGATCTGCTCCCATTCTACAGGGTCACGATGAGTCAGAATCAACTTGACAGCAACAGGCTTTTTTGTTTTTGTTTGGTTTTTAGGCACTGTTCTAAGTGCTTTAAACCTGTCAACATCCCTGATTTTTAGTGTCATCATCTCTATTTAGCAGATAAGCAATTGAGCAACTGAGAAGGTTAAGTGATTTGCCAAGGTCCCAAGCCTGTGTCTTGGTTTTGGGGCTCTTCCCTGCCACATACTGTCATTTATGGGCTATGTTTTATGCCCAGGCCCTCTCCAGGAGCTGCCTGCCTCCTCTTGGTGTAGCAGCAACTTGCAGGGTGCAGGGCCTGAGCACAGGCGGGGAAGGCCTGGCCTGGGGCAGGGAATCCTGAATCCCAATTCATCAACAACAAGCTTGAGTAGGCCCCTGCACTGGGAGCAGGATCAGTAGCTTGCTCCTTAGCAGGGGCAGATCAATGAGTTAAGCACAGGCTTACTTATTAATTTCTTTTTTTTTTTTTTTTGGTTATTAATCTTTAGTGAACAATTTCACATGGGTTTCCCCACATCTGTGATGTTCACTACAGATTAGTAAGTAAGCCTGTGCTTACCTTGCATATTGAGCACGTTGTACCTGTCAGGGATTCTCAATTTGAAAAGAGAGAATCTGTAGGAAGGTGCTGTGGGGTTAGGAGAAAGATGCCAGCCACACCTAGAAGCAGAATCTTTGATGTGGTGAAAAAACGTGAAATTGTTCACTATAGATTAGTAAATAAGCACAAGTAACATTGTGCTTACCTTACTTATTGGGTAATCTGACACTCCCCATCCTCCTTCACAGCTTCAAGGTCTGAGTGTTTCAGGGTAAAATCTAGAACATTTTGGGAGCTGCTTCTACTTCAGAAGGAGCTCTGGTGGCCTAGTGCCTATGGCATTTGACTGCTCACCAGAAGGTTGGTTGTTCAAACTCACCAGCCACTCTGCCGAAGGAACACTAGGCAACCTACTTCTGTAAAGATTTACCGCCTCAGAAACCTAATGGGAGTTGCTATGAGTGGGGATGGACTCGATGGTAGTGAGTTTGGTTTGATTTGGTTTCCTACTTCTGACTCCGTCTCACTCCATCCCCGCATCCCTGTGCCCAAGTTTCACCCACAGCTCTTTCCTCAACTCACCTCCCCCAATCTCACCCAATCCTGTGACTTTTCCATGCTTCATTTGCTGTGTATCAGATCCTACATCTAGCTCCCTAGTCACCCATTACCACCCCAATTTCCGACAAGAACTAACCTTACTATTGACCATCTCCATCCTATGATCTTCTTAATCTCAAAAAATGACAGTACCATCCACCCTGGCCAGACACTGTGACCACACACTAACTCAATTCTCCTCCCATATCCAGTCAGCCACCGAGTGAGCGCCCTCCATTCCACCACTCAATTTAGCTGTTACAGCCATCATTCCTCTATTACCTATCATCCTAGGCCAGGCCACACTTCAGAAGCCAAAACTGCCTCATTTCCTTCCTTGCCCCAACCTTAGCCTCTGTGGTTCGAATACTATTCAGACCAAACCAAATGCAGCTTCCTGACACTCCATGTTGTTCCTTCAACTCCCAGGACTTGTCTCTAATTGGGGTTAGGCATGCGCCCAGCTCTTCTGACCTAGGGAACTCCAGACTGTGACGTAAACATCTATCCACTGGTCTCCCGGCGCCTCCCAGGTTCCGGCCACACCTCCAGCGCAGTCCCAGGCCAGAGGCCCAACCCTGAGTAAGCTTTCGATTTCCCGAGTGTCCCACTGCCCCCAATTTATCAAGGCCTGCAAGCCCCGCCCTCGCTGGCTGCCTCTCGGGCACTAGTCACCGCCCCCGAGCCCTGCAGGGATTGGTCCTGGCGGCCCTGCCTCGTCTCGGATTTGCCCAAGGTGAGGCCCGCCTGCCTGCCCAAGTAGGAGACGGAGGAGGGACGAGCGTCTGGCCATGGCGGGGGGCCGCCGGTTGGAGCTAGCGGAAGCCCTGGCGCTGGGGTCTGGCTGGCGGCACGCGTGCCACGCGCTACTCTACGCGCCGGATCAGGGGCTGCTCTTCGGCCGCATCCCGCTGCGCTACGCCGTACTGGTGAGGAGGGGGCTAGCGGCCACTCGTGGTCCCCGACCGGGCCCTGTGTGCTCCCCGGAGTGCGCCGCCTCGGGCGCCTCAGCCAATACCCGCTTTCCCTCCCGCAGATGCAGATGCGCTTTGATGGGCGCCTGGGCTTCCCTGGAGGTTTCGTGGACGCGCAGGACGGCAGCCTGGAAGATGGGTTGAACCGCGAGCTGCGGGAGGAGCTGGGCGAGGCGGCGGCCGCTTTCCGCGTGGAGCGCGCGGACTACCGCAGCTCGCATGCCGGATCCGGGCCGCGCGTCGTGGCCCATTTCTACGCCAAGCGCCTGACGCCAGAGCAGCTGGCAGCAGTGGAAGCCGGCGCACCGCGAGCCAAGGACCACGGGCTGGAGGTGGGGCCAACACGGAGACCCTGTCCTACACCCAGTCACTCCCATTCGCTTCTCTTCTCCCTCAAACCCTCTTTATAGGCTGGCCTCGCCCTGCCCTTCTGTTTCCTGGTGTACTTTGGGACAGGGTCTTCTCTCATCTGGATGGCTAATAGCCTACCTAATCTGCCTGCCAAGATTTTCTCCCCCTACCCTTGCCACCCTTTTACAGGCCTCTGCAGTGATCTTTCTAGAAGATAAAGGTCTCTTCCCAGCTCTCCATTGATAATGGACAGGCATGGCACCCTAGGGCCTTATTTTCAAGCCCTTGCTTTTCTTGGGGAAGAGATGTGCCCTGGTACTTGAGGGGTAGCCTTGGCACCAAGGCTAGGTGAGTTGGGGGAAGAGTGCCTGGGGGGTTTGAACTGCCAGCCTTCTGGTTAGCAGTCAAATCCCTTAGGCACTACACTACCAGAGCTCCCAGATTTTATATAGAGGGCATTATTAGAACTGGCATCACTAGGTCCCACTTCCAAAATTGCTGGTTCAGCAGGTTGGGGGATAGGGAGAACCAAAGAGTTTGCATTTTTCCTAAATTCCCAAGTAATGTTGGCTTGGGTACCACACTTTGAGAACCACTGCTGTAGGGCCATCCTGGAAGCTAAAGCCACTGAAGGTTTAAGGGAGAGATGTGGGAAATCTTGAGTCATTTGCTGGCACAGGGCTGGAGCTATTAGGCTCTATTGAGGTATGAACCACAGGCGTGGTTCTGCTGCGCTGATAAGGGATGAGGCCTCTGCTTTAGAAAGATCTGGTTGGGGAGAGGGTGGGAGGGGAATGGCTACCTGGATTCCCAGTGCCCCCTGTCTCCTTCCTTCCACAGGTGCTGGGCCTAGTGCGGGTCCCCCTGTATACCCTGTGGGATGGCGTGGGAGGCCTGCCTGCCTTTCTGGAGAATTCCTTTATTGGTGCTGCACGGGAGCAACTTCTGGAAGCCCTCCAGGACTTGGGATTGCTGGACTCTGGCTCCATCCAGGCCCTTAAGATCCCAGCTCGTCACTAGAGACGGCTTCCATGGCCTGTGGAGTCTGATCTCAGGACTTTGACAGTGGGGAGAGAGGGAGGGAAGGAAAGAGGAGTGTTTTCTCTTGTGGGTCTGGGAGATGATAGATGATAACAGATTAAAACACGGAGGAGTATGTGCTATCTTCTGAGCAGAGACCCCTCACCCCCTGCTGCCAATTCAGAGCATCAGGGGCAAAAATCATCCCTGGGGCCCTAGCAAACTCTCAGAGCCTGCCCCCTCCTGGACTCACGTACATGAACGCACACTCCCAGCCTGGTACCTCCTTTACCCTTGCCCCCTCCTAGGCATGTGAATGCACAGTCTGTATCCACACATACCACCTTCCTACCTTGCCCCTATTTAACCTGGAAGTGGCACAAGAAGGGCCTGGCTTTACACTGGACCTCTCTTCTTGCTGTGATGTGGCTTCTGAAAAAGAGGGTCTCTTCCTATGCTTGCTAGGGGAGGACAGGGAAGCAGAGACCTTCTTTGCTTCCTGAAAATGGTTGTGCCTTTGCCTGGGGACTCGTAAGTCTCTGAAAGGTGGAAGAGAGAGACCTAGCCAACTCTTGACCCTCCCTTTCCCCTGAAACGAAGCAGAAGGGGTTAGGAAGTGATGTGGGCTCTTTGGACTGACCTTGGACCTTAGACTTCTGAGCCTGGTACCTCTTCTTTAGGGTATTCATATTTGGTACCCCTTGGGCTCTGGGGAGATCATAAGGGAACTGATCTAGCTTCTGCCTAGCCCTGCCCGGTCCAGAAGAGTCTCTCAGGTAAGAAAGACTTGGAGCTGGCCCTCAAGGCCCATCAGCTCTTTAAACAAGTATTTATTTTGTACTTCCTAAAGGCTAGGTACTCTGTAAGGTACTGGAGATCTAGTGATAAGAGCTACATAGGCCTTGTTCTCCAGGACTCTAGAGCAGGGATCAGCAAATTTTTTCTTAACGGTCCAGATGCTAAATATTTTAGACCTTGTAGGCCACATGGTCTCTGTCACAACTGCTCAACTCTGTTTTTATAGCTCAAAAGCAGCCATGGACAAACTATAAACAAATTAGTATGGCTCTGTGCCATTAAAACTTTATTTTAAAAAGCTAGTGACCAGGCTGGGCTATTGTTTTCCAACCCCTGCTCTAGAAAGGTTAAGATGTTTAATAGTGATACCTGTTTATTTGCCCTATATAAATAGTATAACAAATATTAAGAAGGAAATAAACAAGGGACTGATAACAGGTCATATGTTGATGTTTGTTTCTTTTAGTTGGAGGGATTTGGAAGGGTCCTCTCTGAAGAGCGTTTTACTGAAGGATGATGAGGAAGTAGACAGGAGTATAGGATAAAATGGAATCAGGGCAAAAAGGATGTCAAGGCCCCGATAGAAGGAAGAATCATGGCAAATCATACCAAAACTTAATACTTAAAACAACCATTTTATATCAGGATTTTGGGGATCAGAACTTGGGATGGGGCTTAGCTGGTTGATTCTCCTGTTTCATGTGACATCCATGGGGATCCCTTGAAAAGGCCTGGTGGTATTGAGCTGGCAAATAGGACCAATCTGGAAAGATGGCTTCATTCACAAATCTGGCACCTGCTGGTGATAGCAGAAACGCTGGGCTTAACTGGGACTGTTAACTGCAGCTCCTCTTTGTGGCATCTAGTATGGTCTCAGGGTAGATGCACGTCTTCTTACGTGGTGGCTCAAGACTCCCAAAGAATATTCCAAGAGACCAGAGAGAACTGTGAAGAACTGATCTGGTGTTAGAAATTGCATAGCATCAGTTTTGCCACATTCTATTGGTCAAGCAGATCATTTAAGACCAACCCGGATTCAAGGAAAAGGGGATTAGACTCCATCTCGCAGTGGGAGGAGTAGCAAAGAAATTGCAGCCATCTTTACCACAGCATGGTCTAGAAATGGAAAAAGGCCAGTTCAATTAGAGTATGGTAAGCAAGGGGAGATGAAGCTGAAATGGTAGTCAGGAGCCAGATGGTGCAGGGCCATACAGACCATGGCGAGGAGCCTGGTGTATGTTTCAAGAAAACCACTCCTGCCATGTGGAGCATGGATTGGAAGGGTCCTAGTGGAAGAAGCAGGACAGGAAGCTGCCATGGTAGGTCATGTGGGAGATGATGGTGATCTGGACTTGAGTGGTGGCCATGGAGATAGAAAGAAAATGCCTTTGAGGGAGATTTGAGAGATGACATTGATAGGATCTCCCTAGCATGCAGAGGCATGTCTAAGCTACGACACATATAGCACATGCCCTGGGTGCCACTTGAAGAGGAGTATGACACTGAGCAGTTTCTGCTAACCCTGTATGGCCCAATGTCTTTCAAGCATGGTAGATCCAGGCAACTGATTGAGACAGCCAGCCAAGATGGGAAGGCATTTCTGCTGAGGCATTGCTACTGCTATGAAGGCATATTCATCTTGAAATTGAGGAGGACAAGTGCAATTTAGAGATTGCTCCTGGGCCCTCATTTCCCTCACCACACCTTTGTGGGGTACAGTGTTAGTGCTTGCCCTAGTTGCTATATCCTGTATATATACCTCTGCCATGATCAACTGGTTGAGGACGGTGATGGGGAAAAGGATTTAAGGATGACTTTCAAGTTCGTAAGGAGCTCTGGTGGCATAGTGATGAACACATTCAGCTCCTAACCAAGAGGTCAGCGGTTTGAGCCCACTGGCTTCAGCTCTGCTCCATGAAAGAAAGAAAAAGCAGTCTGCTTCCATAAAGATTTATAGCCACAGAAACCCTACAGGGGCAGTTTTGCTCTTTTCTGTAGGGTTGCTGTGTGTTGGAATTGATGGCGGTAGGTTTTTTAGATTTGTGTCATAATTTGTGTGTGTGTGTGTGTGTGTGTGTGTGATTTGGATGAAAGTTTACAGAGCAAATTGGTTTTCCATTCAACAGTTCATGGATATTTTGTTTGGGGACATTGACTACAATCTCCACAGTGTAACAACACTCTCCCACCTCCTCTCTGGGTTGACCATTTCCCTTTGTCCTTCCTTCCTATCCATTCCTCCCTTCTGAGTTTTATCCCTGGACAAACATTGCTTTTTTGATCTCTTTTGTGTTCATTTGTGGTAATGCATGTTGTGGATGAAGTGAAAGCTTGGGTGGGTGGTGGGAGCAAGTTTTTGAAGGCGACAGGATCAAAGTAGTCATTTGGGACATGTTAATATGTATCTTTGTGAGTCATCTGTATAAAAAGGGTATGAAAACTTGTGAGACTAGATGAGTTGATCTGGAAAGAGAGAGAAGAGAAGCAGGCTCAGGACAGGGCCCTGAAGAAGTCCAGCCCTGAGAGTATCTGGGTGGAGGTGGAGGACATGTTAAAGGTTACCAGGAGCTGAGAGGTAGCTACTTTAGGAAAGTGGACAATGCCAGGTTCTTGTGAGGATTTCAGTGACATGAAGACAGAACTGCCACTTGGATTTAGTAGCATGAGGTTGTTGATGACCTTTATGGGAACAACTTCTGGAAGGGGTGGAAGCAGGAACCAGACTCAAGTTGGTTGAATGAGTGGAAAGTATTAAGGGTAAGGGAGTGTACAGTGAGAAGTGGGTCCTAAAGGGGCTCAGAGAAATGGTGTGATAACTAGAGAACATGTAGAGCTCTGGGGAATGTTTAAGGTAGGACATAGTGATAGGAATAGTCAAGATTGAGACAGATGAGAGACTGACTTGGCAATGGTGGGGGGGCGGTTCCTGAAGGAGCACCGCCCTTGAAAAAGGAGGGATAGGGCCTTTGACTGGAGGACAGACAGAGCATAAGAAAAGGAAGATGGGGACAAATATAGATGAACTTGTTACGTGCCGTCGAGTTAGACCAAACTCATAGCAACCCCTCCTTGGGTTTCCGAGACGATAGCACCACGGAAGTAGATTGCCCAACTTTCCTTCCCAGGAGTGGCTGGTGGGTTTGAACTGCCAGCCCTCTGGTTAGCAGTCAGATGCCTTAGGCACTACGCTACCAGAACTTAGTAGGGCTAAATTAATGGAAGGATGATGAAAGAGTTTGAATCTCTTCCAAGTGAAATGAATAAGACCATCAACTTGATATGAGTAGAAGAGTTTTTCAGAAAGTGTGGTGGTTAAGTTTGTGTGTCAACTTGGCTGGGCCTGGTTAAATGTCTGGACAGCTGAATGTAGTTATTCCCCTTGGTGAGATCGGTGGAACTCCATGTGGAATCTATTGGAGCAGCTGAGTAGCTGCTTTGGGTAGGTGGTCTGCTTCCCGTATATAAGAAACAGCTTTGGGAATGGTCTCTGGCTTTTGGCACACTTGAACCCTGCATGTAGCAGTGTCGTTCAGCAGCCTGCCATGCTCTGCCAATCCTGGGACTTTCAGTGGACTTGAATCTATGGCTTGCCTTGTGGTTTGGTAACATCAGGACTATGCCTTTTTACTTGTCAACCTTGGCTTGTCAGTCTCAGCAGCCAGCAGCTGAGTGAAGAAAAGCCTCTAGCTCCAGTGGGCCAGGTGCAGGAGGCAGAGCTGAAGCCCAAGGTTGAGGGGCTTTTACACAGCCCCTAGAGCCTGGCACTTTGAGCTTAGACTTAAAGCCTCCAAACTGTAAGAGAATAAACTGTTTGTTCAAGCCATCCTATTGGTGGTGGTATATTCTTGTCAGAGCAGCACTAGATGACCAGAACAGAAGGTTACTAAATAATTTTTCATCTTGGTTTGGAAATGCAAATCTATTAAATAAACACAGCATGGCACGGCAAGGTTGAGATAGGAGTGGGATGGTCAGTTTAGGGTGGGAAACTAATAACTTAGTTGTGTGTGTGTATGTGGTGGGGGGAGTATACGCACGTGTTTCCTCTTCATCAGTGTTCACCAGCTTGGATGGAAACACTTGCTGCAGGGTTGGAGTTTTGCATAGCGGCTATGAGGAAAGGAGAGGAGAGGCAGTTAAGATTATTGTACAGGAGAAATTGTAATGATGGACTGTGGGGTTTAAGTTTAATCTGGATATGA